ACTTATTTATCACCAAATATAATCAACTGAGCACTTAAAGTAACTTTTGAATGAGTACTGGTTAAAGGTACCTTGAGAGATGTGCTTGAAATTAGTTGAATCGATGCAGAAACAAGTTTATTTTTGCTATAAAAACATAGGCGGACATTTTAAATAATGATTTTGCTTTTTTTTTCTCCATTTTTTGTTTGTAAAAAAATTTGTTTAAACTTTTGTACTTCTCATTTTTCACATTTTTATAATTTTTTTTAATTATAAGTCGGCACCATTATTGAAAAAACTTGTTTTACTTTTGAGTTGTCTGTGTCTCCATTGTGTTCCATTATGCTAACAGATAATATGGGTGAAAGATTTTTAAAATCAAACAAAAGTTTAGAGGTCCCACTGAGAAAAAAACAAAATTTATGGAATCATGATACAAAAATGATCATTAAAATTCATTTTTTAGCTTTATTCTAGCATATTTTTTGTCAATATAAATTTTTCATTGTTTTTAATGCTATAACTATGGTAATGATGTTTTTTAAATTGATAAATGAAACAAAAATTAATATCATAATAAAAATGTAATTAAAATATTTCTCAATTCGTATGAAAACGTGCAAATTTTACTAAATATTGTTTAGAAAAAAAAAATTATTTCAAATTTGGAAATAATCTAAATTGTTCTGTTAGTTCATAGAATAGTTTGATGCTTATTATCATTGCTTAAGCACCATTCATATTACATAATTACAGTACTTCATTGTTGCAGTCTTTCCGGCGCAGATTTGGAGCATCTCTACAATTTGGAGCATCTCTACGAAGTTGTTTTTTTGACAACTTGAAGAACGTTTTGAAAGTGTTCGTCGGATCTGGCAGTTTCGACAAAGTCTGATGCTAATTTGACACCTCTCTCGACACAATCATTAACAACATTTACAGATGCAACATTTGTGGCACTGGAAATGTAAGCATCGGACTTGCTCCAGTCACTGACAAGAATTTTCAAGAAGCTGGTGTCCAGCTGAAGCCGATTACTTGTGAACCACGAATCAACTCCAGCAAGGTCACAGAGTCGTGTCTAGCACTCGATGGACAATGGAAAACGTGACTTTCCCCAGCCATTGCCAAAGCGATCCAGTGGAGCCTCTAGGACATTCACAGGCCTGAGCTTAAGCAAGGCATCTGTCAGATCTTGTCGTTCTGATATTGGAACACATTCACTAAACAGAGCAAGTGAAATCATTTTAGCTGTGAGATACCAAAGGTGATGGTTAAGTGCTCAAATTGCAGACTGAGATATATCTTTGTCAACAATTCCATACTCCAGAAAGCGCTTGTACAGCTGTAGATCACTCCATGGTGAATCAACAGTCTTCTTACATGTAAGCCACCCGACACCATAGACATGTGTAATAAATGTGATAAAACAACGCACCTTGGTTGACTTGTTCACTTGATGACTAGTGGTAATGATTCCTGCTGGCAGTTCTTTTTGCATCTCATAGAGTGCAATTTTGAGGCTGTAGATGAGCT